AATGGATGGGAGTGCAAGACTCTGATCACTGCACGCAAAATCCTCCTCCAGAAATCTCTTTCTCCCCAGTGTTGCTGACATAAGATGAAATAAGCACAGATCCTGCAATTTTAGGGCTCTCTACCAACAGTAGATCGGGCTGAATATAAGCCGTATTTTTATGTTTCACCAGGTTTTTATCTGTTTCTCAATGCAAAGCTATTGTTGTCAGAATGAAAACAGATGTTCAGCTGCCTGTTTAAGCCAGTTTTACACAAAAATGCCTCTGGTTAGGACACTAGCAGTATGAGGATATCCAGCCCTGTCCCATTTACCTGTGACTTCAAGGGCTGGCTGAGCATCACTGTTCCTAAACTCCTCTGGTTACTATCAGAGAGGTATCTCCCTGCTCCCTTTAGAAAATAATATAAAATACAAAAAGCTGTGCAAATGGTGGAGGAGCGGTGAGCTGAGGAAGTGAGGAGCTGAAGAGCATTTCCTCAGAGTGATGAGCTGAGAAAGCGAGCGTGGCTTGGCACAGTGTCTCACTTGGAGCTCTAGTCTGGCACTGAGTCCCCAACACTGCTTCCCTGTGTCCCCATCTGGCTCTGGGTGCCTTGCTGTGCACTGCAGGCACCCCAAGGAACTCTTCAAAGGAAACCTAGTGGAGGATCTGGGCCCTTGCCATGGAGAGGCAGCAGCAGCAGCGGGATGGATATCCATCCCCAGGAGTGCCGTGAACACATACTGACCTGGGACACATCCTGGCTTATTTTGTTATTTAGCACATGGATCCAGAGAGAGTGCTTTCCTGTGTCTGTTTTTCTGCTTTAACAAACTGATAGATTGCTATTTTGCTATGGGCCACCTAAAAGCACAGCCCATGCACTGTGTTGGAGCTCATCATCTCGCTGGTTTTCTTGTAGCTACTGAGACTGTAATTCTGCCAAGGGGTGGTGGCAGGAGAGTCCTGCACGTCCTGCTGCAGACTTGGGGTCTCTTCCTTTGTGCACAGGGGTACAGAGCAAGCTAGCACTGGCCTGAAAGGCCACAGCAGGGCTCTGCTGATTCCCAGCTTCCAGGGTGCTCCTTTGCCTGTGCAGCTTGGTCCTGGTGCTCTGACAAGTAGCTTTGTGTGTAAATGGGGATTTCTTCAAAACTCCTGGGAGGAGCAGCTGGCAACAAATAGCTCAGAGTGGCAAAAACCCCATGTGTGTGTGTGTGTGTGTGTGTGTATGTGTATGTGTGTGTGAACTCCACTCTAAACGGGAGAGGGAAAACATCCAGAGTTACAGAACTAATGCAAATGGAGTTGGCTTTCATCTCTCCCTGCAGCATCCTTTGTGGAAGGCATTTGCATTTCCCCAAAGTCAGTTCGCTACCTATCCTTCAAGCAATTCCATAGCTACAGAGCAAAGGGAAGCCTGTTTACAAGGTATGGGGTGGCTCTTCAAATCTGAAGAGAGCTGAACTCAAAATATTTGAGAATTGAAAGCTCTTATTTTTAGGTAGCAACACTGAACACAGCAGAGGATGGCACACACAGACTGCGGTGTGCCTCGCTATTGAGTGTAGGGTCAGGGGATCATTTCTGAGCTCTTCATGTGGGAGGGTGACTGCAGAGGGAGGGGTGGATGGGACACTCATGAATTCCTCTGACCTCCCCCTGGCACAACTCTGCAATGCCACCAGCATGTATGTGTTCCTGCAAGTGGATGCTGGAGCTGTCTAACCCGGGTTAGATGTGCGGGAAGACTCCTGTGGCTCCCATCTAAGATCTGCCAGTGTTGGGGTCCCCAGGAGTCCTTAGTGGTGTGTGGGTCTGCTGGGGCTGGGAGCTGCAGACAGCTGCCATTCCGGAGGAAGCCTCCAGCCCAGCAGAGGCACAAACAAAACGGGATTTCATGAGCACTCTAGCAATAGCTATTAGCTATGCTAAAAGGATTAACAGCTGTGCAGGAGTCTTCAAGTGTTTAAAACATAACTCAAGCATCAAAGGCGGCTCTTATAGGCTCACATTTTCACATCAAGTAACTGTGAAAATTTCTATCCAACTTAATTAAAACATCCACTAGGCTCGTTAAAAACAAAAAAAGAAAAAAACAAAGGCCTTTCTTCCTTGAGTACCAAGACATTTTGAAGAGAGGAGTTTACAGCAAAGTATGCAGACTTTTTTGTTAAAGAACCACCTTTGTGAAAGTCTCCTGTCTCCAGATCAGTGTGGCTGATTAATCTCAAGCTTTCCAAAAAGGAAATAAATATGGTTTTGGTTTTGTTGTTTTGCTTTTACCTTGGCTAGGGACCACAGAAGAAAGATGAAAAAGTGAGAAGAGCTTTGTAGAGAAAGTTAGATAAGAGGGTGGAGGAGTGTCAAAACTAGACCTATAATAGGAAACAAACCACTGAAGTGCTGGTGAAAGTACCTTTCATCTTGAAGACTCCAAGTGCTGTGCAGTGCATGAATACACACAGGGGCTGAAAAATAATCGACAACAACTAGCGTCACCACCTTTGCTGGTACAGAGTCACCCCAGGCAGGTCACAGGCTCACTTGCCATCAATCCCTGACTGCCTCTTCACTTTGGATTCAGTTTAGGGCCCCTCCCTCCAAGAAGGACATTGAGGTGCTGGAGCATGCCCAGAGAAGGGCAATCAAGCTGGTGAAGGATCTGGAGCACAAGTCATATGAGGACTGGCTGAGGGAGCTTGGGGTGTTTAGCCTGGAGAAAAGGAGACTCAGGGGAGACCTTATTTCTCTCTACAATCACCTGAAAGGACGTTGTAGCAAGGTGAGGGTTGGCCTGTTCTTCCAGGTGACAAGTGACAGGACAAGAGGAAATGGCCTCAAGGTTCACCAGGGGAGATTTGGGTTGGATATCAGGAAAAGTTTCTTCACTGAAAGGGTTGTCAAGCATTGGAACATGCTGCACTGAGAAGTGGTTGAGTCACCATCCCTGGAGGGATTTAAAAGATGTGTAGGTGGGGCACCTAGGGACGTGGTTTAGTGGTGGATTTGGCAGTGTTCAGTTAGTGGTTGGACTGTATGATCCTAGCAGTCTTCCAACCTAAATGATTCCATGATTCTGCAATTCCATGGCTGAGATATTTTGTTGCTAATCAGCCCCATCCCAAGCCCCTTCCCTTGTGCACTTGGTTCCAGGCAGTAGCACCCTCATCTCCCATAGGAGATGTGATTTAATTGTCCTTGCCAGTGATGTGTCCAGTCTCAGTGATGTTGGGTCATCCCCAGGCTTCAGCATGTATTCTTCCCAGCCACTCCCACACTCCTCTGTCTGCCTCAGAGGTCTCAGTTATTTCAAGTGCCCTGTGGAGATATACCTTGTACAGAGGGAGTCTGTCTACCTATTTTATAACTTGGGTGGTGCCACTGGAACTAGAGGTGCATTAAATACAGTGCATTAACTTAGTAAATGCTTTTTTTGACATCCATAGAGGCCTTGAACACTACAGGATTTCATCCCATTATGCTAATTTTCTTGGTTTTGATTAATAATTAGCAACCCCCCAAAAAAAGTTAAATAACTCCTGTCTTTCCTCTTGTTTATGTGTCAGTTTGATTTCTTCCTCTTCACACTGTCCTGCCTTGTCTGGAAGGGCAGTGCTGTGAAATGCCACCAGGAGCTGAGCTGCTTCTACAGCGTCTTCCCAAGAGGATTTGCAGCACTCCTTCCTTCTTTCCTTCCCACTTGGCCATTTTTTCGAGGCAGATTGTAGGACTTGAGCAAACAGCTTTCCATTCCTGGGAACCCTCTGGGTTTCCCCTGGGGACCAGCCGTGCTCCAGTGCCACAGACAGCAAGCTGCTGTCATTCAGGGCTGGTGGCACGGGAAGGTGTGCGAGCACAGGCTTTATACCCATGAATTCAGTGCACAGTTGGGAAGTGAAACGCAGGAATTAGGAGGTAGACAGGGTTTTTCCATCAAGCGTTTATAGCACCTTCCTCACTTTGTGTCTAGACATAGCTATAAATGCGGGAGAGGGCTATTACCTAGGAATAAAAGTACTGAAACCAGCCCTGGAGAGCTCGTTGCTGTATTTCCAAGGAACTGGGAGATTCCTTATGATTAATGCAACAATATCAAAGGCTGTAAACTCACCACGGTTGGGTACTGAGTCAGGGGACACACTTACGATGTACCTGCCACTTGCAGCTTAGACTAAGCGTTAGCTACGGTCTCTCACCAGCCCCTGGCCATTCCAAGGGCTGCTGCTTGCTTACAGCTCAGGGGTTGAGCTCTGCTGACTCCACCAGCTGCAGTGGCATCATAAAACAGCCCAGTGATCTCCAAGGTCCGATTTCTCATTGCAGTGTGGACCAGTGATGGTGTGGAGGAGAGGAGAGGTCGTGAGTGGAACCCAGGCTGTGTAGCTCCCAGGGAAACTGCCTTCATGCCTGGTAACTTCAGGCAGGGACAGCAGAAGCTCTGCTGTGTGCATGGCAGCACCCGTGCAGGTGGGGAATGCCTGGGATCAGATCCCAAAACACCCAGTCCCCATCCCGATCCCATAAATAGTGATGGGAGAAGTTATACTGCAGAGATCTCATTTTTTTTGGATGCAAATTTTGTTCTCTGATCTCTGCTTCTGCCGTGTCCAGCACAGCAGGGTCTCAGTCCCTGCCTAAGGCTTTACAACACTGTTATAGCATCAGCAAAAGTAATACAGAAGAGAATGGACTCCCTGGAAAAATACCAGGAAGCAAAACACTGACACTTTCTTGACAGTGTCCACAGCGAAAGCACAAAGACTTATTTTTTTTCAGCTAAGAGGAACCTACCTACACTACTCTGAATGATGGAGTGAAGTGGCAGGGGATGTGTCTTCTGATCTCTTGGTTGAAGGGCTGTGATTACAGAATGAAAAAGGGGAGGGAAAGGGTCGCATGGATCTGCTAGCCCATGGCTGACCTGCCTTCTGAGGGAGGAAGGGTGTGAAGGAGCAGCATGGCAAGTGGTTGTGCAGCAGGCAGGAGGTGGGAAATTTGGGTCAGCACCTTTGTGCCTGCAGGAGGTGCTCTCCAAGTTAGGTTTCATCCCCCAGGTTAGGTTTCCCCCTCCAGATTAGGTTTCCTCTGGAGATTGGGCACTGTGTCCGGGTTTTGTCCCCTCTGCAGAGTTTTCTTGTGTTGCATATTCAGGATTAGGAGGCACTTGGGTAACATGGCCCCCTAAGTACCCAAAATCTATTAAAAATTGCTCTCATTTGACTCCCTAAAGAATGCCATTGGGAGTACAGCAACGTTTCTTGGATGTGAGTAAATATTGGCCTTGAATGAACTTGCTGATAATGGGAGATAAGTTATCAACAGCTGTTTAACCTAATATTACTTCCATACAAGATAACACTGAGCTTTTTCAAGAGGTTAATAACTAGATGCAGAATCCATCACTGCATACACAGACACCTGACAAAATGCAGCCTTAATTTTTCCCCTGGAGCTTTATTACAGCTGAAGGAGCATGTGGCAGGGAAATGTGCTGGGTGGGTCAGGCCTGGCTCCAGCAGCAGCCAACGTTGTTGGCTTGCGGCTCTGTGCAGTGATCAGGGGGACAAGGGTGCTTTCCTGAGGGTCTAACTCCTCCGGATCAAAGGGGCTAAGAAGGCATAATTATATTAGCAGAGCTTTTGCTGCTGCTAATCAGCCTTGAATGTGGGCAATGCTTGTATTGCACATCCGAGCACAGTGATCACAGAGCAAAGAGTGAAGGAAGGCATGTGGGTTATACCTGACATTAATACAGATATTTGGGAGGTGGTGTCAAAACACGAAGTGTGGATTAGTTGCGGATCACAGGATCACCATGAAAGGGATTGCAGCTGATGCTATACGAGATTTTAGCCCACAGTTGTGGGTCTGTTCCAGCCTGCTGATGGACCTGTAGTTTCACAGATTTTTAGAAAGAAGAGTTTGGCAAAGGCCAGAAGCACACAGGGAGACTGGAAAGGCTTTGCTAGGTTTCTCCGCGGAAGGACTTCTTCCCAGGCATCTCCCAAAGCATGGAGCTCAGGCAGAGGGTCCAACATGTCTCCAGCCACCTTCCCACTGCCACAATGCAGGACTATACTGGCTATTTTAATTATGTTCCTCTCACTTGATCCTGGCCGTGGATGCTGTAGACTTTCAGCATTCAGCTTCACAAGTCAGAGCCAACTGCAGAGGGAAGGGCTGGGGCGGGATGTGGAGGGTGTGGACCACCACCTGATCTCTTCTTCCTGCAGGATCCACGGGGCATCTTAGTGCTTTCCCTGTGTTTTTCACCAGTGTTAATGCCTGGCTGGGACATGCCTTAGATGTCTCTGAAGACACTGATCCGCTTGACTGAGCCCTCGGTGGAGGCTCCTGGCAGGGCTGGGCTGGCTTTCAGTGCTCCTGGCTCACAGCCCCTGTTTTATCCGGCAGACCACACTGCTGCTCAGCAAAGCTGGCTGCAGATGCTAGGACAGCAGCTGCAATCCTATTGACCCCTGTGGGGATGATAAGTCCAAATGAAGACCCTTGGAAATTCAGCACAGAATACAAAAATCTGGCTGCAAAACTAGGGCTCAGACTGTGATAGCTCTGCAGACAAACACATGTGAGAGCCCAGCTGTGCATCCACAGAGAGCCTGCTTTGAACATGGGTTTGATGCTTGGGATACGTAAGGAAAACTTCATCCTTTTCCATGAGCCCATCACATCTTTTCCTTGTCCCAGAGGAAGCGTCTGGAAGTGGATCCAGGTCCCTGCACCCATGGAGGAGACAAATCCTCAGCTTCCCTGGGACCAAGGGGTTCTTCCTTGGGTCATGAGTCTGGAGGGAGCAAACAGATGAGCACCTTGGAAACATCCAGACTTCTCATGGTCTCAGGGCTGGAAGGGTCAGAGAAACACTATGGCCCCCCAAATGAAAGAAGTCTCTCTGTGTCCCACCACTGCAAGAGCTGTTGCACAAGTAGATGGAGACATGGGCGTTTTCAGGCCATGTTGCACTCCTGGTGTTTATATCCTGTCTGTTGGAATAGCTGTGAGCAGGGGCTGTGTGTGCTGGAGGCACTCTGGCCTTGCTCACTCTCCAGCATGTTACAGGCTCCAGGTAGTTGCTTTTGGGCCAGCCCCATTAAATGGTTCTTAGCATTCCCTGCTCAAGCAAACACATCTCTGGAGTCCTGCTAGTAGCTCCAGTTAAGAAGAAAGCTGTGCTATTAATCCTTGTACGTGGCTCCTTTTTCCCAACATGGGCATTCCAGCTGAACTTTTCCCGCCGTGCTGTTTGCAAACCAGGCAGCGTGTGAGCGTGCCCTCACCTTCCCACACACCAGACCCAGCAAGGCAGCAAACAAATGGCAGGTCCCTGGTTGTCCTTAGCAATTAGCAAATAGTTCCAGCTGCCACTGCTGCTGCTCTGGGATGGCTTTTCTCTTCCCTGTGCATTCATTTCTGCAACAGCAGCAGAGCCAGGCAATGCAGGTTCGCTCTTTTATAGCTACCCCCTGCCCTTGCCCATCATTTACACGGCAAGGTTAAAGTGTAGTGTGATAGCAACTTTATTATTAAAGATCCTGAGTTCTTATGTTATTAAAGTTAGGTCAGCCTGGGCTAAACCCTTGTGGACTTGTGTGCCTGCATTTAAAAAGCACGAGAAATTCCTGTAGAACTGTCAGCTTTCCTCATTCTAAGGCTGGGCAAGTTCTTTGTCCAAGCAAGTGCTCCCTGCTGTGGACTGTAACCTTGTGATTCTCTTCTAGAGCTGGATTTTAAGCTCCTGCTGAAGTTTGCCTTTGCAAGCAAGATCCTGGCAGGCAGCAGCTTCCCTGGTTTTCTGCATTTCCAGGAGAGCCTGCTGTGTCGTGGTTCTGCTGACCAACACCTCCCCTTGCCCTGTGCTGTCTTCATGCCAGCACTTCAGCTCCTCAGTCTGCTGGTACTGCTACCAAAGCTCATGCTGCTGCTACACATTCTTTTCCTGGGCAGCTTCCACATAATTAGTTTACCTGCAGAGCTATTGGCTCCTGTTTTAAAGCTTTCTTTTAATCCCTTTGCAAAATATCCAGCTTCTGGTTTACTCTTGTTTGAATTCCCCTGATGTATCTTGAATTTCGTGGAGCATGACCGCTCGTTTTCAGGATGCAGCACAGCAGCAAGCACCTTGGGCTCCCCGGAAAGGGGAGCCTCTTCCTTCCACTCCTCCCCATCCCTCTGCAGTTCCAGCGATATAATCACTGGCTTGTTCAGCTCTCATTTCCCTGATAGAAATCAATCTCATGGTTTTTTTGGTGTCTCCTTTGATATCTTGACTTTTCTGATCTTCTCACTTTTTCTGCAGCAACACAACTCATCCAAACTAATAACCAGCACAATTTTTCGCCTCATGTAGCATCGTGTGCCCTCAGACCTTGGGCAGTACTTCTGCCTCCCTCGCTCAGGATGGAGGTCATGGTGGGGCTTAGTCGCCTTGTAATTAATTTTATCCTCCTGTGTAACCAGACTTTGGCAATGAATCCATGCAGTCCTACACAGATCTTGCCTCAAATTGATGGCTTCACAAGAGTAGCGTTGCTTTGAACTCCTTCTTCATACCCAAGTCTAGCAGGGGGAGTATAGGAAGTTTATAGCTGCAAAAGAACTTTGCAAAGTTGCATTGTGCTCGATTTCCATGGCAAAGGAAAAATAAAACAATGCAGGAGAGAGGGAAGAAAGAGTAGAGAAAAATGCAGCAGACATAAACGAAGAAAATGATGGAGAGGAGAGAACAGGCACCCACACTGTGGATTTGTGGGAAATTTATAAACCCGAAGCCAAGTAATCACAGAGTTTGGGCAGCTTAAGTGGCTATTGGGACTCATTGTTCTTCGTTAACCTTCCAGCCACCTGAGTTCAGGTGTCAGCTCAACATCAAACTGCAGCTGATCAAAATTTTCTCAGTTTGAAAAATTGCGGGGAAATTGGGTTTTCAAGTGGCTGAATGTCATTTTAAGAGGCCCTTGCCTTCCTCAATATTCTTAAATCATTCAATATCAAAAAATTGAAAATGGATATTTGGGCCTGAAAACTCAGCTCTGGGCTCCAGCTGAAAAGAGCTGAAAAAATGCTGCAGTGTTTATTTATGAGTGAGGAGCCTGTGTTTTTCCCCATGCGCCATGGGGGTTTTCTTCCCCCTGCTTCCCCAGAGAGCTGGGGCAGGATTCGGGTGTCGTCTTGCCCAGAGAGCAACATAGAAAGCAGCTTCAGTGAATAACCTTGTTTTTCATCTGTCACAGCAGGGGATGCTCTCCCTTGCCTGAGCGGTAGAGGATGTGCAGGGAGAGAGTAAGAAAGACACCATCAAACTGGGGAAGCCATCTGGCTCGAGTAGCTCTGGGATGAGGATTGTCCATCATGGCTGTTTATTTGTTTGGGAGAGAAAGTGGAAGAGGGTCCAGAGAATGAATGAGGCTTTCCCAGAATAGCTCGACTTGTCAGGGGCTGAGAGAGACACACCATGCAAACCCTGGGTCTGCTGTTTTATTTATGTGTCGCTCATCTGGAATATAGGAATTACTACTGGAATGACAGGGGTATCAGATGAAAACTGCCAAGTGAGGCATTAGTTGTGGTGGATGTGGTGAGGAGTGCCCATCTTGGAAGATGTGGTGGAAGCCAAGGTGAGCAGCCTGGATGCAGGCAAAGCGACTGAGGGAGTCACCGTGGGTGCTGATGCCACCAAGGCACCCCTGATCAAGGCCTTTCGGTTCCATGGTGGCCTCCTACAAAATTCATGGCCACAGTGGGACTGACCACACTTCTACATTACACTGACAGCAGAGCAACGTGGTCAGAGAAAGTCATAGACAAAATGTACGAGATCAGGCATGCAATGTTCTTGTGGCATTCCCCAAACTCAGTGGGACCCTGTACCTGAGTGCTTGTCCTATACATGTAGTGAGGGAATTAAGGGGCCCTCCTAAAACTTGCAGCCTGGTGTCATGCTGCTGCTCAGCACTGTATGGGGCAAGCTCTACCCATCTCCTGCACTGGGGTGTTCTTCAGTGGC